GTGTTTGACTGAAGCATTAAAACCTTAGACTGACATTTATTTTTCAGACTCTATTAAAAGTAAAGTCAGTTAGTAACTTGCGATAATAATTCTATTACAAAGAATGAGGTTTTGCCAAAAATAAACATTGAGGAGAAAATGAAAGGTAACCAGGTTTCTACACCCTGACTTTTTTTTTTCAGTGATACAATCTATGATAGATTGTGTAGAAAGAAGAAATTTCCATTTGCAATGCAGGTGTGTAATATTGGGATCAGAAAAGACTGTTTATCCTTTGTTTTGATTCAGGAGAATTGCAGCTTGTATAATAAACCATAAGTAAGGGAAGGCATGCTCATCTTGGCTTACACAAAAATTCAGGCTACTATGGCAAACTAGATGTGTATTGGAAATGCTTCTGTTGGCTAAGTTTATGGTAAATGGATAAATATGTGGAAAACAGAATACGGCTTCGGGCCTATAAAAATCTAAGACATTTCTGAAATGGAAAAGTGGAAGATGAAACTTTTCTTTCTCTTAATCTTAGAGTGAACATACTTTTAAATATGAGGATTAGGTAGCAATTAAAGATAAGAATTATTATTAAGAAAAATAATTAAAAGTATGTTTTGATATGCATGTACAAAATTTATGTTTTTTTCTTCTGATAAATTAGTACCATATCAACTGTTTTTGTGTAGAATAAAATATTTGTGTAGAATAAATCATAAAACATACACTATAGTAAGCTAAGAATGATTAACCCTCTTAAAACTTCAGAATTTAAAAAGTAAATCAATGAAAAAAAAATAGTCAAGTAGAGTGAATCATGGAAGTTCGAAGGAATGGTAAACCTAAAAAAGTGTTTTGATTTCCTAGGCAGCTCTATATCAACTCATTCTCTCTCTTCTCCCCTCCCTCCCTCTGCTAGGGATGGGCCTTGTGCATATTAATGAGCATGCTACCACTGAGCTACATCCCCAGTCCTAAGCAGTTTTAGTTCAAAAGTTATTTCATTTTTGAGACATTTTTCATTTCTCAAAGTTGTTTTTGTGATGAAATAAATAATTTTTTAAAATGTTAATGTTGAAGATTTGGGGGAAATATAGAGCATGTTTACAAATAAGAATATATATGTATTATTCTGTTTATACAATAAACAAACCAATCACATGTTTTGCAGTAGAACCAACTCTTTCACTTTATTAAATTTGGGAAGGGAAAATAAAAAATAAAACTTACAGGATCCATGAGACTAGTGCTAGCATGATAAAAGTAATTACTCCTAGTACCACTATGATTACAATTTCATGTAGGAGTATAAATTAGAATTTCCTCAGGTCTGAAAATTTCTTTTCATACTAAGTAAATGTTAGTCCCCTTGGAAAAGTCTACCGGCTGACTAAATCACTTAATGACTTCTTTTCATTATTCACTTGGCTTCTTCCAAAAATTAAATGAAAACTACTAGATATCATGTGGTAACATGCAGTTAAATTGCAGTAAATAATTTAACATCTGAAAGTTATAAGTGATTGAGAACCATTTGTTTATCACATTTAGTTAGTTAATATCAAATGTATTCTAGCAAAGATAAATTTGCAATAAGCTAAAGTAGAAGAGAGAACCATTTACAGAATGAGCCATTTAGCGGAAGTATGAAAAGAACCAATGACTTAAACCTAGGAATACAGTTAAACATACTTGTGAGAATAATCTTGGCATTATTTCTACTAACATGAGACTCAGTCTGAATTTTTAGCTAATTTGCAGTGGCATCATCCACATGCCCAGTCATGATCCACACAAAATTGGCCTAGAGAGCCCTTGATGAAAGGGGAGATTCCTTCATAATGACCACTCACTCACTACAGGTGTCTGCTAGAAGGGAAACTTTGATAGATCCTTTTTAGAATAGATGAGTTGAGAGAATAGGATAGCATCACCTAGGGAATTGGATGTTGATGCATCTCCTGGAGAATACAGGTGTTCACTCTCTGTGTGAATGAATATCACCCAAATTTGCTGTTCTACCATTGATAAACCCAAGGCTATAGATATGCCCTGTTGATAAGAAATGCAGCACACAGTACAAAATACAACCTTGCTCCTAGCAGCACATATTCCAGATTACTAGGGAATAGGATGAAGAAAGAAAGCTATATATATTAAACCATTTGTAGAATATATACATTGTGAGTTGATAACTTCCTTTTTAAGTATTAGGGCCAGGATGACAAGTGACCAAGACATATTTCACTAAGATACTATGGAACACTGATTTTAAAATCTAATAGGTAGGCAACAATATTTTCTCAAATATGGATAAAATTTTCTGAAATATGTTGGGTTTGGGAGATTTCCAAATTAATGTTTAAATATTTTCTCCTTTAATTTTTTTGAGCGCTTGTACAAATTAAAGATAATTTAATTTTGATTTGTAAAACATGATTTCCAAATAGTAATATTTGTTTATGTCTTATTTAATATTTAAATAATATTTAAATTTAATATAATATTTAAATACACATACTTTTATATAGAATAAATTATAGTTTTAAAATGAATAATTATAAAGAATGTCACTCTTTAAAATAATCAGTTTAAAATAAAATACATCTGTGAACAGATATATAAGAGAAATAAATTTTGAATACAGAACATATAAAGTATATTTTTATGTTAATCTAGCAAATAATGATGGATAACTTGGCAGATTATTTGGTTATATTGCAAGAGAAATAGAACATAGCTGAAAATAGACCATAAGTCAGAAGCTGCCAAGACGTCATGACAGAGTTCAAGTTTTAATGATCATAAAATTGAGGTGTTCAATATGATTCCTTAGTTCCAGCTGAAAACACACATTTAAGAGTGGAATTTAATCAAGGATTTTAAATAGCTTTAATTTATAATTCTTTTACAAAAAGTTCTAATATGTTATCACTGACATGCTAATGAGTGTTAGGAGTAATACTATTTCTAACTACCTTCAACTCTCTTTAATAAAAAGTATGCAAAAAACCAAAACCAAAAAAAATCCTCCTTTCTTTAGCATTTTTGTTAATATGGAGTGATAATTAAAACTCTACTAAGAAAATTACATAACAAAACTTATTTTTAAAGACAATATTATGTAGGATCATTGAAAAATGCATATAAATATAATTAACATAGATATATTTTCCTAAGTTATAAATTCCTGAGGAAAATATTTTAGTAATTCTATGAAAAAGGAAAAAAAATGTAAATGCTAAAATTTGATAATTTTTTTTGTGTGAAAAGAGCATATCCAGGCTTAAAATCATTTACCTATAGAAATATGTACATTTATAGATCAATGGATTCTTATTATATATCTATAATTCATACTGAAATATTAATTACTTGAAGTGAATATGTTATTTTATAGTAATGCAAATATATTATAAAAAATTTTTAGAAATTGGAACAGGTTAATACAATATCATTTTAGTAGTATTCACTTTGAAGTATTTGATTTATCAAGGAATAAATTTGGCTCATTAACATACTAGTAAATTATTATAAAATTAATCAATATTTTAGGTCATGACCCTTGGATTTAAGAAAGTCTTCAAGAAAATGTCGAATACGATTCAAGAGAAAATGTGATTTGAATCTGGAGACAACTGTGTATGTAAGTATTGGAAAATTAGATTTTTCTCATGGTAAAATGTAATAAAAACTAAAACAACAGCTCATCAATTATTGGATTGAATAAACTGTGGTTTATAGTTTTTCATATATTATTTCAGTCTTTTTAAATATTTGAGATTAATAAAATGTTGCCTGATTTTTTGGTGATTTTTTTTAAGATAACCTAATAATAAAAACTAAGGATAGCTGATAGAAGAGTACAGAATATTTGGAAATTGCTACAATTAACAAGAAAAGCTGCCTCAGGTGAGTCTTGGTGGGTGACTAATGGCATAGGTTATCTGTGCTAATTAACATTGTAAACACACAGCATGTGATACAAATAATAAAACATGACCACATGGAAAAGGTTTTTAAATTTCTTATTTTGATTTTAGCCTTGTAATAAAATTCATGATAAGTTTCTTAACAGAATTAAATCTAAGCTGATAGTTGAATGTCAAATGTCTACTGAGGAAATTTTGTCAATTTTGAAAATAGTTTTACATATTTGGTTAAACGAATAGTGTATTCCATGGCTATACCATGACAATTCATGTTTCATAAAAAAAAATAGTATGTTGCTCCTGGATCTTGTGAAGAGTAAACATTGGGAACCATACCCCAGCAATGTCTCTCATGAGAAGTAAGCTAGTGGGTGGTATTTGAAAGGTCATTTTTCATTAGCTCATAATTGTCCCTACCATTACAAATACTTTCATTTGATATTGTTCATATATTGTAATCTTATTTCAATAATGAGGATGACTTAGGAAAACTTTTATTTTCTGATTTAAAAAGAATTAGTTTTCTGTAATGAAGAATAATTTCTACTAATTGTAAGGATATTTTAATGACATATGGATGTTGATTCTCAAAAACAAATTTCATCCTTAGATGAATAAAGTCAGTAAATTATAAATTAGACCAATGCTTATAGAAAATAAAGGTAAACTTTAAAATAAAATGTGCTATCAAAATTTATGTTATGGTGTTCACTTGAAATTCTTTATTTTGATACTTCACTAATTTTATTCCAATTTGGTCAAAACAAAGAAAGCAAGATCTTTTTAATCACTCAAAAATATATATGTAAGAAGCTTTCCTGATTGCAAGTTTAGTTAAATTAAGATAAAATGTATTTAATTAAGCTTCTTAGTACTTTAAATCATGATATTCTTAAACATTTGTAATACACAAAACTATTAATCAAATCAAAGTAAAATTATTGCACAGCTATAAAGTAAATCTTCTTTTTGAGAACCCTCTATATTTATTTAATAAATATTGATGAATTTTGTTTCTTTCATTGTCTATTGTAGTTTGATTTATATTACATAGCATATTGCATCTGGACTCTGATAATGGAGAAAAAGTGTGTCCTGTATTTTCTGTTTTTCTTGCCTTGTTTTATGGTAAGTACAAGTTCCTCTGATTGATCTATTTTACTTCCTACATATTTATAATTAACATAGTTCAATAGTGAAATTAAAGTTATTATTTGATGCATAAATTAATTACATTTCCACCCAATCAGTAGAGCAATTATTTATTCCCTTTCCATGTATTCTTCTAGCCTTAATGACAGATATAGAATGATTCAGCCCTGGGGCATAGAGGAAGAGTTTGAAAGATCAATGTTACAAATGTGTAAAATACCAGAGAAAGTTTTATTAGAGTTAGGGGGAAAAAAATGGAATGGCTGTATGCAGTACGGTTGTGCACAGCAGATGAATTATTTTTAGTCAGATTTGTGGATTCTGAGTTAGAACTTTTAAAACGCATATTCCAGCTCATTGATTTCTCTTCATTCTACCAATTGATTGAAATTATGATTGAAATAATTCAGAACCATGAATTGTATTTTAGTTTCCTCTTCCATTCACTCAAATTAGCAATCATCTGTGCTATTTGAGGCAGGTTGTGTTTGTGTGCATGTGTGCGTGTGTGCATACTCTTGTGTACCTTTCAATACACGTGCTGAGGATGCTAGGAGAGGTGGTGGTATACAAAAGATGACAAAAAATCAATTGCTCTCCTAAAAGACCCGTAGACTTCGTACTTTTATTTTTTTTTTTCATTTATAGAAATGTTTTATTTACATTTTTCTCTTCTTCAATTTAAAACAATGACTCAGCTCTTTTCTCTTTGTATGTATGAAAAAGCAAGATATATAATCTCATCTAACTATGTGCCAACAAATAATTTCCTGTAGTGTTTCCAAGCAAACCTTACAAAGACTTAAAGTAACTCAAGAAAAATATGGAAAATCTCAATGAGGAAAAAAGTAAAATTACATTCTCAGCATTTACATTTCAAAACACTCTCAAGTCTAGAAGCTTTCTAAATTCTGCACTTCTCAGATGTTATCTTACTAGAATTCAAGAGAAAGGACGCCTGTTTCCTCAGCTCACACCTTCCATTGAGCTTGCCAGTGAGTTACACAGGCCAACACTGGTGATCTGCAGGCAATTCTGTAACAGAGTACTGATCCGGTTATTGTAATTTAGGGAATTGTGTCCTTTTCTTTATAATTTGACCACAGACAGTGTGTAAGCCTGATTTTTATTTCAAGAAGGAATAAAAATGATATCAATCTATGCAATTTCTACAGACTTCTTGAGAAGAATGAGTTCTGTGGCTTTAAAAAATATTGTCTCCAGCTGGGAATATAGCTCAATGGTAGAGCTGTAGTCTACCAATATATTAGACCAGTCTAGTATAATGTCTATTATTTGTGAGGCTCTGGATTTGATCCACAGCATTGCAAAAATAAAATTATGTGGAACTTCTAAGTGTATTGGCTTGCTGTTCTGAATTTCCGTTTGTTGCTTCTATAGCAAAACTGTGCATATTATAGCAGTTTTATTAACAACAATTAAAGTAAGACAACTCAACGAATTTTAAAAAGAGTGAAAGAGTGAATGAGAAACAGTGGCCAAGTAATGGTGAAACTTGAATGATGCCACCCAGTGAGAGAATATTATTATTTCCACTTTGTTAGGTTTTACTATTTTTAGTGTCTCTTTAAATAAAGTTCTACTAAATTGGAAAAATATCTATATAATATATATATATATATATATATATATATATATATATATATATATATATACTTCAAGTCTTTTACTGATGTATATTCAGTTAAAAACTCTATTTACCAATATTATAAATTAACTTTCCATTAGTTTGATTGTGAAAAATATAACAACTAGCAACAAATATTGAATATTTTCCATGTGCTAGGTACATCCTTCTATTAAATTGATGCTCTTTATCCTCTCTTACAATAAGAAGCTGAAGTTTGGGAGATAGGGGGAATATATCTTGCCGGCATTCACAGAACATGTAAAATTGGAGGGATTTTGAATATAGCTCTGTGTATATTTCAGAACACATGTTTAGGCTGTCCTGCAGTCAGCTACCACAGGCTCTACATAGCCAACTCTACCTCCCAGCTCTGCCATTGGTGCCATCTTGATTGTTTGAAACTGAACATGGTGGAAATATAAATTCCAAGGAAAGTGACTAACACTAAAATTGGGGGTTTCCTCCCAGAGAGGCTGTTTATCATTCAGAACATCACTGTACTTGCTCTTTTATATACTACAAAAATATTTTCACAATTTTGACATTGTTGTTGTTTTAATTCCTTAGATTCTAGTCACAGCAGAAGTTGAAGAAGAACTCTCTGATGACTTAATTCATTTGGGGGTTACTAGAAATAAAATCATGACAGCTCAGTATGAATGTTATCAAAAAATTATGCAGGACCCCATTCAACAAGCAGAAGGTAACCATGACTATTTAATTTTAAATGCATTTGACAAATTTTTTAAAAAAATTTCCCTGTTTGTCATTCTGGGCTCTTTGCATCTATTATTGAAATGAGTTTGTTGCTTGTTTTCTGGTATATGTGCACTTTTAACTATTTATTTATGAAAATACTTTTGTAATACATTCTTTTAAAAAAATTTTTTTAGTTGCAGATAGACACAATACCTTTATTTTATTTATTTATGTGGCAGTGAGGATTGAACCCATTGCCTCATGCATGCGAGGCAAGTGCTCTTCCACTGAACTACAACCCAGCCCTGCAATACATTTTTTTAGAAAAATCTAATAAAAATATGTGAGTGATCTTTTTAGAACCACTTTTTATGGTTTAAATATATTTAAAATATCAAATATGTATTAATATTAATACAATGACATAAGTCTCAAGTCAATGACAATTCACCTTTAGTTCATGTAATTTGTCTTTTTTTGCAACCTGATTGATAATAACTTGCATAATAAAATGATGAGTACAGAAGTGTTTTTTTTTAATAATACTCATGCTTTGCATAGTACATTTGCTAGCAAATTTAATGAAGTTTAAGTGCTCTTGTTTCCTTTAGGATATTTTTTATTGTTTTGGTAACTCACAGAGGGACTAATAAGCACCAGGCATTTGTCTAGATCTGAAGCTATAAAGATAAGTAACAGAAATATAGTTGCCATAATTAGACAACAAAAACAGACCTTATATTTTTTTCTGACAGCCATAAGGGTTATTTCCAAAAATATAAAATGTGAAACTCACAGTGGAACAAAGCAAAATATAGTCTATTTAGATGATCCAATTTTTTAAAAACTATCAGGGGAAACAAAGATCCCGACATTCTAATGTTCTAATAGATTGTATTTACATATGAATGAAATATTAAAAGTAAAATATTAATATTTATAATTGTCAAATTAATTTGCTTATAAAAGAAAAAAGGCATTTTTTTCATGTTGAGCAACTTTTAAATTCAATTTAACTGAACAACATAATTTATTAATCTTTGCAGAAGTATTGGGATGTTATAGCTGCACCAATATTCTTTTTATATTTGTCACTAAAAAGTATGTTTTAAAATATGCCAATGACAAATTATCTGATTGTGAAAGATAATGAATTCAAGTTCACTGCCTAATACATCTTCTTAGTGCTTTCATGAATTAAAAATTCATGAAAAATAGAAAGTCTTGGAATAAAGAAGTGTCTTTCTTCTAACTTTGTATTTTCAAAATCCATTTGGCCACATAAACTTTCTCATTGAAAAACTTACTCATATCTTACTCAGATGCCATCAAACACCACAAAATTCTAGACCTTTCATGCTTCCTGTATTGAAGCTATAAAGATATTGAAAGTATTGAAGTTAATTAGATAGATTCCTACAGCAGTGGCATTGGCACATTTGAGATGATTTCTAAAATTATACATAAAAAATTTTTATATTCTATAAAATATATTCACTTAGTATTATATGGTTGCAAACTATTTAAAAATAACAGAAGAGAGAACTCTGATTATCCAAATGGCTTTTCTTACAAATTGCTATCATTTAGACATTCAGGATATCAGAATTTTTATACTCTCTTGGGGGCTAGATTAATTCCAAGATCTCTTTGCAAACATCTTATGTTTCTGTGCAAACATGTTAATGTTAAAATTAATGCAGCATTCAGGGGACCACCTCTATCTGACAATTTAAAAAAAAATCTCTTTTTTTGGATTACATAGTGTTATAACATTGGAAAATTGACCAGTTGATTTTTCTGTGTCTTTAAAAATATCTATTTATTTTTAATGTAAGAGATTCTTCCTCTTCACAATGGAGAGAAATGTGACATCAATAAGCATTCTGCTCCATTTGAAAAGACAAGGAAGGAAAAGCTAGATTTGGAAGAAGGGCCTAAATAAATACTTTTCAGAGTTAAAATGGTGAAGCAGAAATATTGAATAGATTCATTTGTTTGCTTCAAGAAATACTTTCCCCAAGAATACAATTCTAAAATAGTATGTTTTTCTGATTTCACACTTTTTAAAAATTTCTGGTACAGAGACATACACACAAACACACTTATTTCTAAAGCTCCTTTAGAAATTAGTTTTTCCCTATAATTACTTGTTGAAAAAGGCAAATAATTGCTATGAAATTCATGTATGTTTATTTTCTGTATATAAGCTTTTTTCCACATCAGTGAGAAACCATGCTTGAGACTTCATGTCTTCGGGTATAACTAGGAACTAGTTATCTCCAATTGTATTTCCCCTTTTAGGCATTTACTGCAACAGAACCTGGGATGGCTGGCTATGCTGGAATGATGTTGCAGCAGGAACTGAGTCAATGCAACACTGTCCTGATTACTTTCAGGACTTTGATCCTTCAGGTAAAAGCAGAAACTTATATACAAATCTCCTTGATACCTATCTAATAAACCCTAGGTTAATTAAATTGTTGCTTTCTTTTTTTTACTATTCCACTTTAAAGAAAAAGTTACAAAGATTTGTGACCAAGATGGAAACTGGTTCAGACATCCAGCAAGCAACCGAACCTGGACAAATTATACCCAGTGTAATGTTAATACACACGAGAAAGTGAAGGTATGTGCTGGTCATGAACTGAAATTCACACTGGCAGTCTAAACAATTGTCTAATAGAACATTGGAGAAACTTTAGTCAGTGTTCCGTTGCATTATAAAGCCATTTCATAATAAAATTTGAGAAGAACAGTGAAAAAAATACCTGTGGAGTGAATTATTATTGATTCTGTCATTACCCTGAGGAAGTGGTACTGTTAGGTAAGAGTGTATTTACAAGTCAATGTCTCAGTATTGGGGTTTCAAGTTTTCCAAAGAAAACATACCTTAAAAGTGTAAAAAAATGTGGGGGTTGGGTTCTCATTTGGGGAGAAATTCTAGAATTACCTCAAAAATTGTAAGTAAACAGGATAAGCCCAGCATGGTTCAAGCAATCCTGTGTCCCTCAGTGAGACCTTCCTTTTCTGACTGGCTGGTAGTCCACCCTCGATTAGGCTCTCACTTTGAACACTATGTATTAAAATCAAAGTTAATTCCAGTTTGTCATAATAAAAAACTTTATAGAAAGTGCCTAAATATATTTATACTGGCATGTTTGTATAAAAACAACTTGTCACTCTGAATAAACAGTAAATCCTGATATCTCTTTTCTTTTTCTGCCCTTTGCCTGCTGAATGACCTTGGGAAAGCCATTTAATGTCTCTGTGCCTCAGTCCCCAAAGGACAAAGTTAGATGACAATAGATTTCCCTTAATGGCTTTCACAAGACTTTACTTAGTGCAAGGAAAACACTTAGAAGAGTAGAATATAGTAAGCACTCGACAGCTGCCACCTATCATTATATTTAGGTCATGTACTCCCTGCTTATTCCAAAAGTGTTTGAAGAGAATCATAAGAATAAAATATAGATGGTAGGTTAAAGTAAATGGAAAACAGAAAAAGAAGAAAAAATAAAAAGTAAACACCATGAAAATTTTTTTAAAAGTGTTTGTATAGATCAAAATATCTCATAAGCTGCCATATTAAAAATTGCCTCTCAACCTCAAATTTATCAAAGAAAAAAAAAAAAGAGACCCAGTGGGGAAAGCTTTTCTGGCATTTAAGTCTGAATAAATCAAATCGCCTAGTAGCATTTGATTTTAAATATAAAATGCTAGTTTCATGTTCTATGTGACCTAAATCAATAGAAGTATTACTTTATAGATTTAAATATGGTTTCTAGCTTCGTAAATAAAGATGCATATCATTTACAAATTTTGATAAGTTACTTGATAAATTTATATAGATATTCCTTATTCAAGATGTATGTATCTATTGGCTTGCAAGCAATCATTGTCAGACTATTAGATCACCTGCTTTCAAGAACAAAATCTATTCAATTGAATTTGAGCTTCTACACTTGTAGGAATATATATGCTTATATATATTGATATCCATCTAATTTTTTTATTCACATAAATCATAGACTGCACTGAACTTGTTTTACCTGACCATAATTGGACATGGATTATCTATTGCATCACTTCTTATCTCACTTGGCATATTCTTTTATTTCAAGTAAGTACATTAAAAATTATTTTATAATTTATCAATTGTCTTAGGTGAATGCAAGTCTTGCATGTTTATGTCATATGGTGACAATATGTAAAATATAGATGTCATGTTTAAAAAACTGAATGTTTAAGATCAGTTAAAATAATTGGATTTATTTTGACTTTGTAAAATATAAAGAGGGGAGATTGATGAAATATCTTAACCCTAATTTTACAAAGTAAGATTAGTTACATAAGAATCAAGTGAAGTAATGTGAAGGGAGTCACAAGCAACTGGATTTTGCCCTAAGAATTGTCAAGTGTTATAGGTCTTTAGTTGCTCGGCTTCTCAGATAGTTTTATTATCAGTATACATGTGTAGAACAGCAACCAGAATTTTGTGTGAATACTGGTACTACTGTTTATATATATTATTGAGAATATAATTTAGCTAGTATATTATTATTATTATTATTATTATTATTATTATTATTATTATTATTATTTTGTGGTACCAGGGATTGAACCCAGGGCCTCACACATGCTGGGTAAACACTCTGTCACTGAGATACTTCCCCAGCCCTTGAAAATATAATTTAAACATAGTATGCTTTACTTATTTTTTTTTAGTTTGGGGGAATCATCATTAAAATAGTTAGATTATACTTTCAAATTTACTGGTATTTCTTTTGAGGGGGAAAGGTGCAATGGCACCAATTTCTTAAATCAACAATTGGTTTTAAAGTTTATAGTAAGGCAACTTCTATACCTTTATGTGCATGTATTATATTATACCTTTACTACATTCTTCATAATTTTGATCACCACTAGTGATTACAGAATGAGTGTGATGAACAGTCAGGAGCTGTATTTCACTGTGTCTTCATTGCCATTGTCATCATTATAGCCTTCTTCCTTGTCTTCTTTCTCTCTCTTCTCCCTTTATCATCACAAACATCAATGATGATATTGGAGCATTAGCAACTACAAGTGTATCTGGAGTAGCAGTACATCAAAATAAGACAAATTTAGACATTATCAGATAGTAGGATTTATTTACGTATATGTAACTGCAGTCTTTAAACCATTTGTCTATCAGCTATTTGAACTATATTGAATAAAAAAACCAACAATTAATGATTATACCTCTTGGGCTCAACATTAGAATACGTAGAGATTGCATCAGAATCACCAGTTTTATAAATTTATACCTTCTTAAGTATCTTTGACATCAGCCATATAAGAATACTTTCAATAGCAGTATCTAGGCACCATTTAAAACTAAAAAAGAATCCTACTTTCAATAAAACCAATTAAACATTTATATTCTTTTTAAAATATGACATTTAATTGAGCAATTGTATCAAATTATATCAAAGTTGAAAAGTGTTTTTATACTAAAATTTGGAAAACATTTCTTAGAGATTTAACATTTACTATACTGTATTTTACAAATTACTGAAAGATTTTTGATCAAAACAACTGCCAATTCTCAGTCACTGACTTCATAATTAATATGTCACATTATTTGCATATGAAGAGCTTATTAAAATTTTATGCCTATACACTTGAATGCATGGTTAGCTTATAAAATGTTTTCTTAAATTAATGCTTTGTTTGGAGTAGAAAATCTTTTTATAATTGTCTAAAATATTTAAAAAATCTCTTCTAAAGAATGGAAACAAAGTTTCTCAAAGCGACAACTTTGAAACAAAATTTTCAGATCTACAGTAATAAGTTAATAAAAAACACTGCAATGGACATTTTCAGCCATAACTTTTCCCATATTTTGCAATATTATTTTAGGCTACATTCCAGAGTTTTGGAATTTCTTGGTCAAAGGGTATATATCTTTTTATGTCTCTTGAAATACATCATCTTAAAAGTATCTCAAAATCAACATGTTCAAAAGAAATTTGTAATATCTACCTCCTCCAAATCCAAGTTGGCTTTCTTCCAGAGTGACCTATCTTCAGCCATGACACTTCCAGAAATGCAGTTGCATTTATAGGAAATTTAGGAATAATTTGTATTGCCTTTCCCTCCTTTTTTCTCCCTAAAATCCTCTTCCTAGACCTTTTGAAATACTCCCAATTTAACCAGCGTACTGAAATTCATCTGTACTGCAATTACCACCAGTCTTGTCCTAGGTAGCCTTAGTAAATCTACTTCCTTCATTTAATTCCCAAGCAATGGATCCAGAACATTTTCAACCATTTAGATTGAATTAGATCTCATGTTGTCATTTTTGCTTTAAAAGTTTTAAGAATCTATTACAATTCTTATAAAATCAAAATCACTAGCATACCCTGAATTATCTTTGTGCCTGCTCCCTAGTGCTGTTAAATGATTCTAAACTTTAAATGAGGCTAAATGATGCCAAGCTTTAGCATCATTTCCTCAGTGAAATCTTCTTAAGTTCCTTTATTATTTCCAAAATTGCAATTAATTACAGCGGACATGGGGTGAGATTCTAATACCATTTGGAGATCAACATCTCTTCAAATTAAAAGTGATTATAACTAAGATTTTTCAGATTAAATGATCTCTTTTTATTTTGCATGTAATAAGCCAAAATACCCAAGTAAATTAAATTTCTAAAAAATAAATTTACAAAGGATAGCATTTATATCACATGCCAAAACCAGTAGTCAGGGAACAATGATCTCCTAGAACTCCCTGTGGTATCTTCCCAGACAAATTTGAATTTAGTAAAGATAGGAGTAAAGTCCTGACCAATTCCATAGAGTGCAATGCAAAATTAACAAAGCTTCTTAATGTGTAAGATTCTAGACTTTAACATGATAAATGCTCACTTTGAATTAGCGAGACAATGGTGAACTACCAATGACAGCAATGCTACCAGCCAGACTGCATTAGTACACATATGATGCCCAATTCTGAATCTCTAATCAGAACACTCAATCACCCCATTCTCAGTGCAATAGGAAAATATTGTTCATAAAAATTGGTTTATCAGGGTGGTGAAGAAATTGAAGAAAATAATATAAGTTGGTCACAGCATACAGAGTACACAACATACGATTTCAAGAATCCAAATGACTTTAACTGGGAATGAAGTTTGCATAATAACAAAGAGAGATGAAAATATTTGAAAACAAAAGAAAAGTAAAACCAAACAACTAAACAAAATATAGTGACAGAAATTATATGCCAGCCTATTAGACATGTTGAAGTGGGTTATTTCTATACTGGTTCATGGCTAGACTTGATGATCTATAATGATCCTTTGAAACTCAAGAGTTTATGAATGAAGCACCAATTTAGAATTTAGGATGAGTTATTTCTTAAAATATATTATCTCAGTAACAGGAATCTTGTATTTGTGAAGGTATTTTTCAAGCTAAAAGCAATTTACATAGGTAAACTTTTACATAGGCAAACACCATCATTGATTAGAAGTTAAATGAAAATCTGGAGATATCTATATATAGAAAGAGAAGGGGGTGGTGAGGGAGGGAGGTGGAGTCTTGCTAAATTGCTCAGTTGGCCTCAAAGTAGCAATTCTTCTGCCTCAGCCTCCTGAGTAGCTAAATTATAGGCCTGTGTCACCATGCCTGACTGGTTCAATATTTTTATATCCGTATTTATAGACAGTTTATTCAAAAAACAAATGCTATTCAAATAACATTAACAAGGAATTTTAAATTTTAATTGAAGGCTAAAAGCTTGAAATCTCAGAATTACTTTATTTTATCCATGTAAATTTGTTTTTTATTAAAAAGTTGAAATTGTTTATACATTAAAGATACAATGTGTAGACACTTGCTTAATCCTAAAGGGAGTCCAGAAATTTAATATCATTCCAAATGCTGTCCATGTATTCCATATATGCTGCTATTTTAGAAAAAGAACAAGTTTTTTTTTCAAAATAAAATAAAGATCTCTGTATGAAATAATTATATGTATTTTTATTTGCTAAGTTTTCCAAAGTTAAAAATCATGTATATAGCAAGCTACATAAGCAAAATCTTATTAAAACATATGACAGTCTTGCCAATAAAGCAAATTTGTGCCTTGGTTTTCATATAAAATAAAACATAGTTTCCATCATCTCATTTATCTTAAAAGTCTATACTGAAATTACAAATAACTGCTCATTCTCTATAGTGGAATAAAAATGGAATCTTTCAGTGATGATCTAGTACAAGTACACACTTGAATTTGGCATAACAATTTAATGGATATTTTAAGACATGATTAGAACCATGGGATATATTTGAATCTTGTTATCATCACTTACTAATAGTCGTCTTAACCTGATTTTGCTTTTAAGTAAGCTTATTTTTTTTAAATAATGGGTCATGCTGTTTCTAAAATTATTGGACAAAGTAGACTTACACAATCCACCATTTAGGAACTGTTCAATAAATGGTAGGCTTTCCTAATGTCCTCATTAGACTGCATCAATCATCTAGGCAAACGGACTACATTTCAGTAGTCACCCAGCATTACCTCTATATGATAATAATGCAAGCTAAAACAAATAAACAAAGCCCTAAATGCTATTATGGAGCTACAAAGTGGAAAAGTGAGGGCAGAAAGACTGATTCTGACTCACAGAATAAAAGGATTCCTGAGATGATACTATCATAGAAACAAACGCTTTGATGAGGGGTAGAATTTCAACAAGTAGAAATTGTAAACCTTAAGCTATGAAAAGATTATCCAGTCTAATACCTAATTTAAATTATTTCCTAAGTAATTACCTATCTTTTCCATAGTCCCTTCCAATCTTTCTATTTGGCTTTGTCATTTTATTTGAATAAACTGTCTTTTTAAAATGGATAATTTTAACAGAAAGAACCAAAGCTACAAATTATTTTCTTTTTTATTATATACTCTCAGGCCTTAGGTACGACATCAGAAATGCTCTTCAGGTCAGACCTATGAATGGCATTTAAAATGCTTTTTATATGTCTAGACACCCCTGCCAGAAAGTGTGTTCTCTACATGCACAACTGCTCCCAGCTCCTGCCATACATACCATTTACTTGTTTCATA